TATATATATACATATATTATAGAGTAAATGACTTTTCCCACCCAAGGTTTACCTTAATGATCCTTTTCCACCCAAAAGTTTCAAAATATCACTTTCCCACCCAAGGTTTATATTTCATTAATACCCAAAGCCGATTCCGACAGCAAAAATTCTCTCCGTTACTACCATTTGGACCTCCATTCTCTTCTCTGCAAAACCTCTCACTCCGACACTTGATTTCTCATCGATTGTCAATCACTGCAATGCTAGGGTTTCCTGTTCTTAGTTGATTTCCAGTTGATTTCGACAACGAATATTCAATCGGTCATCACCATTCGATCCATCAATCTCTACTCTACAAAACCTCTTTTAGCCTAGCTCCGGATAACTCACCAAACGTCAGCTGAGAAAGTTAAATGTATTTTGGATATTAATAGAATATAAACTTTGGGTGGAAAAGTGGTATTTTGAAACTTTTGGGTTGAAAATGTCATTAAGCCAAACCTTGGGTGGGAAAAAGTTGCTTACTCATATATTTGGGGCATTTTATTAAAAGATCATGTCAAGTTCAAATTTAATTAAAAGGCTATGAAGTTTTAAAGTGTTAACTAAATAGCCTTATTATTAATTAAGGGTAATTAAACATGATTAGTGCTTAATTAGGATTAATGAAGTATTGTGTAATCTTTTAAAAATTAACTATGTTCCCAAAAACCCAAAATTCTTGCAAACAAACCCAAATACCTTCTTCTTCCTCCCACCATTAATGCATCCCTACCCTGGTTGTTGTTTCTTCTTAGCTTCGTCTACATCTTCTTCTTCGTCTACATTTTCTTCTTCTTCCTTCCTCTACATCTTCTTCTTCCTCATTCCTCTATATCTTCTTGTTCCTCCACCATTAATACTTTCTTCTTCCTCCACCATTAACATCTTCTCCGCCAAAGATCCGCCTCCTCCTCCTCCTAACATTTCGTCCAAGTATGTGTATCTCCTCTTTACATTTTATATTTAGATTTACAAAGATTTAATAATGGATTGGGTTTGGGTTATGATTTTGATTTAGTTGTTTAGGTTGTTGGGTTGTCTTTGATGTAATGCAAGTTGAAAGGAGTGAAATTTGTTAAATATTTTCTTGCATTGTGGTTAGCTGGGGGTGGTAGCACCGATTGTAGGTGGAGATAGCTGAAAATGTGTTTTGGATCTGATGGATCGCTTAAACGATCTGGTATATCGCTTAAGAGATCTGGTATAAATCTGGTATATGGTAGCAGATCGCTTAAACGATCTGGTATATGACAGAAGATACCAGATCGCTTAAGCGATACAGTAAGCAATATACCAGATCGCTTAAGCGACTCTTCAGATGCTTTTTAAAATCTGTCAACCCTTAATATATTGGTTAATAATTTTTTTTCCTTGCATTATAAGTACTTGGCTATTATTAGACATGAGACGTTGTTTTGGGTGTTGAATATTTTGGTGAGTGGCTAGATGCTGTTTCGTTACTTGTTCACTAGTTTCTCTTGGTTGTATGTCAATCTTTTGTGGTGCATTAAACTGATTTTATGTCCTTGTATTTTCAGCCATGCCATCAAGAAGAAGGATGAAATCGAGAGAATTGCCAAGGCCAACCGTTGAAGACTTATTAGTGAATCATAAAACAATTTTAATAGTTTTGATGAGTACTTTATGAGATTCCCTTTTTGGTCTCATGGACTTGTTATGAATGCTTTGTTGTTTTTAATTTTTTATGTTGACAATTGGATATCTTTTTGTTTGAAGTTTTAAATAGATGATAGTAAGGATGTTTCTAGTTACTTAATTGTTGCTTTTATTGTGCTACTAAATTCATTCAATATTGAGATGTTATCAATACAAAATCGCTTAAGCGAGTGATGACATCACTTAAGCTAATTTTTATGAATTTGAGAAGGAAATGTCAAGTACAAATAAAATTGGCCTTGGTTGCTTAAGCGATGTCGGCTATCGCTTAAGCGATCACGGCTGATCTATACAGGATTGCTTAAGCGAGAGCTGACATCACTTAAGCGATCTTGAATTTGAGAAGGAATAGACAAGTACGAAGAAAATTGGCCTTAGTCGCTTAAGCAACATCGACTATCGCTTAAGCGATCACGGCTTATCTGTATAGGATCGCTTAAGCGAGAACTGACATCGCTTAAACGATCTTGAATTTGAGAAGGAATAGTAAAATACAAAGAAAATTGACCTTGGTCGCTTAAGCGACGTAGGCTATCGCTTAAGCGATCACGACTTATTTGTATAGGATCACTTAAGCGAGAGCTGACATCGCTTAAGCGATCAAAGGTAATTTTCTTTTGTACTTAGAATAATCCTTCTTAAATACACAATCACTTAAGCGATGTCAGCTCTCGCTTAAGTGACCTAGTATAGATAAGCCGTGATCGCTTAAGCGATAGCCTACATCGCTTAAGCGACCAAGGTCAATTTGCTTCTTTTCTCCTCAATCTTTTGATATTGTGAACGTTTAAGTGAGAAATTATATTCCGTAATATGTATTTAATATTTAGTCCTTTTTTATTAATTATTAATTATTTTTTTCATTTCAATAGAATGTAAAAAGAACACTTCGGTCTTTGTCAATCAGCACTGTACATAAAACTGAAAGATCTATTGTTATTCTATTATTTTTGTTAGTTCTTGGCAAGAAAGTAATATATACAAAAATATAATATTGATATAAAATTGAACTCTGCAACCATCTGCTCTGCACTCTATAGACCAAGGCTAAATAGATGTAAACATTCTACACCATATATGTTTAATATAGCTGTAAAAGAACTAATTTAATTAAAATATAATAACAGTCATGGTCCACTGAACGAATCGTACACCTGATATGTTTAATATAGACGTAAACATTCTACACCATATATGTTTAATATAGCCGTAAAAGAACTAATTTAATTAAAATATAATAACGGTCATGGTCCACTGAACGAATCGTACACCTGATATGTTTAATATAGACATAAACATTCTACACTATATATGTTTAATATAGCCGTAAAAGAACTAATTTAATTAAAATATAATAACGGTCATAGTCCACTAAACGAATCGTACACCTGATATGTTTAATATAGACGTAAACATTGTACTCCATATATGTTTAATATAGCCGTAAAAGAACTAATTTAATTAAAATATAATAACAGTCATGGTCCACTGAACGAATCGTATACCTTATATGTTTAAGATAGCGTTAATCACTTAACCGATCTAGTGAAATACAATAAAAATAATCCGAATACACTGGATCGCTTAAGAGATTTCATTTTTCGTTTAAGCGATTCTGTGTATTTAGACTTAGTAGCTTAAGAGATCTGGTTGTATTTATGTTATCGTTTAAGCGATTCTACACTTTTACACTTGGTCGCTTAAGCGATCACGAACAAGACAGAATCAATAAGTGCCCAAACGTACGATCGCTTAAGCGATCCTTTGATTTTAACCTTGGTCGCTTAAGCGATCATGTCCGAGGCAGAATAAATTTCTGCCCAGATGCACGATCGCTTAAACGATTCTTCGCTTTTACTGTTGGTCGCTTAAACGATCGTCGATCATGAACAAGACAATAAATAAGTGCCCAGACGCACGATCGCTTAAGCGATTTATTATATCGCTTAAGCGATCCTTTGCTTTTAACGTTGGTCGCTTAAGTGATTCGCTTAAGTGATCATGTCCGAGGCAGAATCAACTTCTGCCCAGATGCACGATTGCTTAAGCGATTCTTCGCTTTTACTCTTGGTTGCTTAAGCAATCACGTTCGACGCTTGATACCACCAAGGTTTTTATGGCACCAGGGACCATGGTCAATTACAATGACGACAAGATCATTACTGCACCATCTTCCAGCTCAGGCTCCCTCCCATTTGAAGAACAACACATCACTACCACAAACAACCTCCCTATGGCCTCCCTTGGCTTCCCCGGTCCTCTGGAAGCCTAAAACACCCACTCTTCTGATGCCCTCCAACTAGTTGACAAAATACAACAATGACCCTAACAACAAACACCAACCAAATATCCCCAAATTAGCACCAACAACAATAATTTCATCTTCTTCCACCTCTTCGTTGGAATTTGCGTCTGCGTCCTCCTCTTCAGTTTCAATTTCAACTCCTGTCGTCCCTTGTTCCGCCAGCAGAATGTCTTCTGTTGGCGTCATCTCCTCTCCTGGTGGAGCAACTTCAGTCATCGGAAGTTGCTCCACCACAACTTCTTCTTCTCCATTTTTGGTAGACCCAGTGGTGCGTACAATTTGGGGAGTGGATGGGTTTTTTTCTGTTTCTTTGAAGATCTCAGCCATTATAACTTAACCGGGAATGGCAAGGAATGACAAAAATGCAAAGAGCAAAGAAGTTGTAGAAATTGCAGAAATTGGAAGAAAAAACGAGAGAGAGGAAGGTGTTTGAATCCTGTTTTGAGAAAGAGAAGCTGAGAGAAATGTGTTTTGCCTTTCAAATTTTAAATCAACTTCTCTTTATTAACCTAAAAAAATATCAAAAACCTTTTCAAGGTTATATTCTCAAATCGAAAGTTAGGAAGGCGTATCAGTTAAATTTCCTCCATATATTCTATAAACATACACTTATGCACTGTAACTGTATAAGCTAGCAATGACAACACTAACTACAGTGACAATATAACTACAAAGCAAACGGATAGCCCTCCCCAAATTTGTGTGAACAACCTTTGCAAATTTACCTATCTTCGAGATATAGATTTACATATTTATTTGTATATATACATAAATGAACATGCTCTCGGCTGAAGCATAACCAATTAACTAGTACTTATCAAGTAGCATTGTTTAGATAATAGCTAAAGCAGAGAGAGGAAATGTAACTGAGATATATACAGGATGAGCAAAATGAAGCCGGCCAAATGTTCCCGACAGTTTTACTTTCGGAAAATTTAACGTAACAAACAACTGGGGAATGGAAACACGGGTTTGTTTTATGAAAAATGCTACCATGGGTGACTCCTTTTGGAAACTTAACAATCCATTTGATCTATATCTCCCCTTGATAGCCATTCAACTGAGTCTAATGATATCGATCAACCACATTCTCATGTTCATCCTCAGACTACTTCACCAGCCTCGTTTTGTTGCCAAAGTTATTGTAAGTAGTTCATAACTGACTTTAATTATCTTCCTTCACTTTAAATATTAACGGGTTTTAATTAATTTCCATGTATATTATAAACAGGCTGCAGGAATTATCCTTGGCCCAACGTTAATTCAGACGGTAAATGTGTCGGATAAGATTTTCACTTTTGAAGACAATTACGTGGTGGAGAATTTCGCCAATTTGGGGCTAACATATTATATGTTCTTGGTGGGGTTAGAGATGGATGTATCGGCGTTGAGACATATTGGGAAGAAGTCATTAAGCATTTCGTTTGTAGGAAATTTGGTTCCACTTGTTGCAGGAGGCGGCTTATATTTTGTACCCATACGCGGTGTTGCAGGCGGGGTCGGAGAATCGCTTCCCATGGGTGCCATGTTTTGGGCTATATCATTGAGTAACTCGAGCTTCCCTGATCTAGCAAGAATTCTTTCAAATGTGAAGCTTCTACATACGGATCTTGGGAGACTGGCATTAACTAGTGCCTTTGTCAGTGCGTGGATTTTTCTTGTTATAACTATAAATTTCTATGATCTCCATAAGTTCTACATGGCGGCAATACCAACAACTATCTTTCTATTAGCCTGCTGGTTCTTGTTACGTCCAGGTATTAAATGGATAATAAATGAGAACAAAAAGAAAGGGAAAAAATGTTTCTCTGAAACACATATAATTAAGTTTAATCCTAGCCGCGGTTGCTATATGTGGATTCATTGCAGATGCGTGTGGGGCACATTCCATGATAGGTGGTTTTATGTTAGGATTAATCATCCCACATGGAGATACTGCCGTTGATATTATGGAAAGAATTCAAGGATTTGTGAACCAAGTCATGTTGCCAACGTTTTTTTTGCTTAATGGCCGTCGTTCGAACTTGATTAGTTTAGCATTAAGCACTAGATCGATAAATTTGTTGCTTGTTACGATTGGGGCTTCTTCCTCCAATATTATCAGCACTCTCCTCATCTGTTTATTCCAAGGCGTGCCATCAACGGAGGCCTTGGCTTTAGGGGGTCTTCTCAACACCAAAGGTGTTTTGTCACTCATTGTTCTTAATGAAGGCCGGTCCATGAAAGTAAGATTTCAATTCCTTTTATTTCTTGTCTTTCACTAATTAATTGTGTACATCTTTAAACATTGATCATCATTTAAGGCACTCATCGAAAATAATTTAACTGCAGGCTATAGACAATGTAGTATTCGTTGTAATGGTGTGCATAACATTGTTAATGGCGTCTACAAGCAAAGGACTATGCAAAGAAATGATCCAAACAAAAAACTTCGAATTCTCACATGCATTCATTCAACACGAAACCTCTCCGGCATCATCAATCTCCTTCAACTTTCTAATGCCACCAGGAGATCCCCCATATGTGTCTTCGCCGTGCACTTGGTGCAGCTTACTGGTACTGGAAGTGCTTCTGCCATGCTTATTGTTCAAGATTCACAAAAGACTAGTACTATTATTAGAAACAGCAAAAACAAGAATTACATCACCCCTCTTGAGGGCCGAGTCGGATCAAATCATTAATGCCTTCGAAAACTTCGAGCGTGCAAACGAAGCTGCCGTAACCATGCATCCGCTGACAGTAGTGTCTCCTTATAGCACCATGCACGAGGACATCTTCCAAATTGCAGAGGACAGGCATGTCGCCTTCATTTTGGCACCATATCACAAATTACCAACTGCCGATGGTCGGTTACGTAATGATAATGTTTCAATACGCCAATTGAACCAAAATTTACTTAATAGTGCACCATGTTCTATTGGTATTCTCGTTGACCGTGGAGTAGGACCTTCAATACAAGGTAATTCAACAGAATTTGATAAATCGAAATTCCGTATAGCCATGTTCTTCATTGGCAGGCCTGACGATCATGAGGCACTAAGTTATGCAACTAGAATGGCTGAAAAATCAGGCGTCACTTTAACCGTGGTACGATTTCTTCAGGCCAAAGAGGAAAATACAGAAAATGATCAAAGTTCGGAAGATATCACGGAGAGTACTGATAAAGTGAGTGAGATAGATGATGACTTTATAAACGAGTTCAGGTTCAAGACAATGTGCGAAGAACACTTGAGTTATCAAGAGAAAACAGTGAATAGTGGGGATGAATTAATGGAATGTGCAAGTTCAAATTACAATAAGAATGATCTGTATATAGTTGGATTTAGAGATGGAGTAAAATCAAAAATAACAAGAGAACTTTCAAATTTGAGCACTAGTCCAGAGCTCGGAGCAATTGGTGAGACATTGGTAACAACTCGAGCTACAGAACGTGCATCAGTTCTGGTAATGCAACAATCAGCCATTGATCAATTGAGAACTGGATCGCGGCGTCATAAAGCGCAATATGGAAAAATGATATGGGCCTCACCCGTCTTAAATCCTGACTATGAAGCCTATGCACGCACATACAATCTGTGAAGGTTTTTTCTTCTTTTTTTTTTTTTCTCATAAAGTTTTCACTAGCTATCAAGGCTTGGAAGCATTCGTTATTCTTTAATTATTTAGTTGATTGTAATGGTAGTTAATTTGTTAAGCGAATGTTATGTGACTTTTTGGAAATTCAATTTTGATTCTTTGTTGGAACTGCGTACCTTTCTTTTTAATTACTCCCTCCGTTTTCTTTTAAGTGACATTTTAGGTGTGGGCATAGGTTTTAATAAAAAAAAAATTTCTCTCTCCCATCAACTTTTTTCCCTGATTTTGCAGGTGAGAGAGACTTTAAAAGTGGAAAACTTTTCCGTTTATTTAAATAACATTTTTAACAATTTTGTCTTATTGCATTTGTTTCTCCCACCAACTTCATCTATTTCTTTTCTTTCACACTGCTCCAGTTCTTTCACGCTGCAACAACATCACAAATTTGACAATAATGCAACAACATCACAAATTGATTTTGACAATGATTTTGATAAGAAAAAAAAAAAATCACAAATTTCTAAACTCAAATCTACTACGCAACTGCCACAAACGCCCATTTTCTCCTTTTTCTCCCATGGACACCACTCAACTAGACTAGTCCACTCTCCCCGCACTTCTCCTCAACGCCATCGCTAAACGCCTTGCCACACTCATGGACATCCTCTCTTTCCGCGCCTTCTGTAACTCATTCAAGGACTTTCCTTTCCCATCATCTGTATCGTCACTCTCCTCTCAACTCCCTCAAGAAACTTCGGCTTTTGTTAAAACCCCAAAAGCTCACGAGTTCAAGGCTGATCTTCCAGGGCCCAAGAAAGAGGAAGTGAAGGTGGAGATTGAAGACGACAGGGTGCTTCAAATAAGTGGAGAGAGGAACATAGAGAAGGAAGACAAGAAAAAGAGAGAAAAGATGGAAGCAGAGACAGATTAGAGAAAGAAGAAGTGGCGATGGAAAATAAGGAAGAGAGGAGAAGAGGGGAAGAGATAAGATAAGATTAAAGATTAAAGAGAGACAGAAGCGAAAAGTAGAGAAATGACAAGATGAAATGGAAAGAGAGAGGGTGTGATAAAAAGTGAAGAAGGCATGATGAAAGGTGCAGAAAAGACAAGTTTAAAAACTCTTAAAACGTCACTTACAAAAAACGGAGGGAGTATTATACATGTCTATGTGAGAAAATATATATTACGCTACGCTATAATAGCCAATACAGAATACTGAGTTGGCATCGCAAATTAATAAGAAATTAATATATGTCAAATTTATTTAAATCAAATAATGAAGTTAATAGGATCAAACAAAAGTAAACAATAAACTCAAAATCAAATTTAAATAAAGTATATGACCAAATTTAAATAAATCAAGTGAAGGTGATAAATGCTTGAAACTGACAAATTTATTTTTCGGTAACCGGTAACTTAATAAAAAAATAAAGAATTACAACCTAAAGACGAGAGAAACTCGAAACTAAGCTACCCTAGAAGGCTAGAAAATGAAGGGAAAGCTCACCCAAAAGACGAGTTAACGGCTTTTTCTCACCTAAATAACGACTTAATGGTATTTTCTCTATTTTTAAAATATTACTTTTTTAATTCAAAAAATACACTTTCTAATTTGATAATGAATATAGAGCAAACCCAGTCCATTCTTTTGGGGCTTTTAAAGAGAGAATGATGGTAAGTCTTTTGGTGGTAGAAGGTTAGATTTTTGTGGTCATTATTGGTCAGAAGTTGACTTGGGATGGGTAACTGTACAAACCCTAATCACTCAATTACTGACGATTGACAAGGTCGACAAGAGTAAAGTTTAAGGAGTTTTTGTGAGTAATGATCGTGAAAGAAAATGGTGATGGTGTAGGGTCAACGGGAATGTGTCATTAAATGTATTTTTTGGGTGAGAATATGGTATTTTAAAAATCTGAGGATAGAAAAGTGTCATCAAGCTATTATTTGTGTGGGAAAAAATCTTTTACTCCCCAAAAGAACAATCTTATGAGAATAAATTTAAAAGCTGATTTATCATTAAAAATCTTAATTTGTTGATTGAGTGAGTAAATGAAACTGGGTCATAAAAAATTGTGGGAAGGGAGCGGGTGGTGGAGTTGATTGCGAAAGTAGTGAAAGTGGAGCGATGGCGAAAGATTATGGATTTTAATTTTATTAGAATCCTTGATAATATTTAAACAAAAAACTCTGATACATTTAACAAATATCAGTTTTTTTTTAATATGTTTTACTAACTCATTATTCTAAGTCTTACCAGCAGATAGTATGGCCCCTTTTGGTTGGTTTTTGAGAATACTATTATTAGTATTTCTAAAAAAGTTAAACAGTAAAATACCAAAAAACTCACAATATTATTCAACTTTTTTTAAACCCTCTAAATTTTTTAATTTAATTAAATACCATTAAATATTTTTTTTCAAAATTGCAAAAACACCCCTAAACCCACATTATACCAGATTTCGGCCACCACTGTCGGAAGTTGGCCGGAATCTGATATAATGGCGCACTACCAACTGAATCTGGTCGGTAGTGCGTCGATCTAGCCTTTTCTGGCTAGATTCACGGTGGATCTGGCTGTTGACGGCCAGATATTTGGCCGTAACCAGACATCAACGATGGCCAACATATGGTAGTCGTTGACCATCAATGACGGCCGTATCTTTGGTCGTCGTTGACGAGCAAATGTATGCAAAGGCAAAGGCCATATCGGCGCACGACCGGCAAGATCCAGTCGGTCATGCGTCGATACGGCGAATCCGGCCACCCTCCGGCGGTGGTGGCCAGTTGTGATTATCCAATGGGTGGGTTGGGGATATTTTTGTTAACTTTCAAAGTTTTATTATAGGGGTGTTTAGTAAATAAACAAACATATGGGGTATTTTTATTAATTTCCAAATCCTACATCGTAATACTCACCCAATTCAACTTTTTTTAACTTTTTTCAAAAAACATTTCTTAAAAAAGAAAAAAAGTGAACCAAACGGAGCCTATAATTTTCTCAATGTTATAGAAAAAATCTAGAATATCAAAATAGTACCATATCATCAATACCACCAACCAATAAATTTGTGACACATTTTAATTTTTTTTTTTTTTTTCTCATCTATTTTTAAATTGATTGTGATGAATAAAATTCAATAACTATTGGCATATATATATATACCTTTTTCTGTCTCTACAACCATTCTCTTATCTAAGTCTATTCAGACTGATTTTTTTTTCTAAATTATAAACTATTCTTCTTAAATTAATTTATATAATAGATAATATTAGTTTTATTAATATATTAATTAGAGATATATTCTAGATCGTTTATATGTTTAAACATAAAATAAATAATGTTTAAATGTTTAAATCAATATAATTGAATTTATAATTTTATGTGATTAAATTATACTTGATGTAATTTTCTTATCTAAATTACAACCATTATATCAAAAAATAAATATTTTTTCATTTACAAATACAATTATTTTAAGAAATCGTTAAATGAAATTAACTTTTAAATAATTAATATAATTACCATTCAAGTTTATCATAATTATTAATTATATAAATAATTCGATTCATAATAAATTTAATAGGATTAACATTTATTAATTAGTAAATACTGAACTTAGGAGAATGAAATTGTAAATGATTAATATTAACATAATTATTATTCTTTTGATTAAACTTAAATTTTTTTTAGAGATTCAAAATTTTCACCCATTGTTAGGAGCTCAAGACTCCGGCCTGGCTCTACCTTTAAGGTTGTGTTTGATTAGGGCTCTGGGCAAATAACTCCTATTATCTATCTTTGATTCCAGACATTTCTTTGTTTTATTTGACACTAATATAAGATTACAGGAATGTTTCATTCTCAATAGTGAATATTAGATTACCTAGTCTAAGGGTGTTAATTTTTTTCTACCATAATTATCTTTTTTTTAAACCAAATTTGCCCCTAAATAAAAGTCATTTCAGACTGAATTGCCCTCAAATATAAACCAAATAACAATCAGTCCAAACTCCTTACATTTGAGAATTTAGCTAAATCACCCCAGCCATAAAAAGTTTAAAAGTTAATAAAATACCTTCAACCATCAAAAACCACTGCCGGCCGCTGGCAATAGTCACCAGATTGATGCATAATCGACAGGATCTAGTCGGTCGTGCATCGATCTAACTATTTTCGACCATATTGAAGGCTGAAAACGGTCAAATCGTCGTGGATCTTGCCGAAAATGGCCAAAACAAATCTGGCCTTTTGTGGTTGTTTCTGGCAAGATCCACAACAATCTGGCTGTTTTTGGCCTTCAATCTGGCTAGAAATAGCTAGATTGGCATTGATCTTACTGAAAACAACCAGATTACAATAAATCTAGCGACGATCTAGCTGTTTTTGGCCTTCAATCTGGCTAGAAACAGCCAAAACAACACACGATTGGCCAAATCTAGTGGGTCATGCGTCGTTTCGATGACTGCCGCCAGCAGCCAGCGGTGGTAGGCCGCGGTCAGTAGTGATTTTGGGTGGCTGAGGGTATTTTGTTAAAATTTAAACTTTGTTGTTGGATATTTTAGCTAAATTATCAAATATAAGGGGTTAAAAATAATTTATAATAATAATAATAATATATTATTATTATTATTATTATATTAAAAATGAAGGACAATTCAGTAAAAGCTTCTGTCGATAATATTTTATTCTTCCTACCCAAACATTTTAATTATATATAACCACTAGTATAACCAAACATATTGATATAACATTTCCCCATAATCTTCAAGGTAATTTATCTCATTGATAATCCTACATTTTGAGCAATAAAACATTCCCCGAACCAAAAGCACCCTAAATGTTAACATAAAAATCCAACCCTTTAGATGTTAACATAAAATAAATGACTCACAAAAAGTGTTTAAAATTAAGTAAAAATTTTAAATTACAATATTATAATTCTAACTTCTCTTTTTTTTTTTTTTTTTTTTTTTTATGACGGGGTGTCCAGGCCAGCTTATGTGCACCTCAACTAATCTTTTGAAACCCTAGAACTATCGACTAGATAAGAACTCTAGTGGCTATCCCTATTAGCAACCGAGGAGGGATTCAAACTCAGAATCTCTTAAATAATACACTCAACAGTCACTATCATACTATTCGATTACTCAGAGATAGTTAATTCTAACTTCTCTCTAATCACCGATAGATTTATGTAAATGAAAGGCTCACAAGGAGTGTCAAAAATTTAGGTCGCAATGTTTTAATTTTATATAAAATGTTTTATTGTCATATAAAAATAGGATATTTTTTCTTTTCATCTATTTGTGTCTATTCATTTAGTTTACACATTAAAAACTTTAAACGTTCACATCAATATTCAGTGCAACGTCCTTTCGTATACCGTTGAGTTCATAACGGCAAATAAATCGTCAAAGGTGATGTTGTTAATACACGGACAACACAAAGCGTCAAAGCCAAATTTTAACGATTACAACAATTTTTAATAAGAACCATCAGGACTTGAGACCACAATTATAAGATCCTGGTTGATTTATAAAAAACTACTACAGTTTTGTTTTATTTTATTTTCCTCATTTCTTGATAAAAACTAAAAAGGGCTCGATTTGAGGAACTAAAACAGGGTGGTTGTTCCAAGTATTTCTGATGAATATTGTGTTTAATTTTGAAGTGTTAATGGGTTATAAAATGTAGGTATAACGTCTGGGTTCCAATTGGAGTGAACTGTTATGTTAATTTGGGTTTGAATTTGTTTTACATGTAAAGTTGAACGTGATTTGAATTTCTGTTAGTGTGGAGTTGTTACAGCTACAACTAAAAACACCATATTTAAGAAAAGCAAGAAAAGAAGAGCAAAGAATGCGGATATAAATAGTTGTGTTTCTTTTATATAAATCTTGACCAGAAACAACTATGTCATTAGCAAAGCAGTAGCAGCGGTCCCAACGATGAATACTATTAGGAGATTAGAATCTAAAGCGCCCTCCGGTTTTCAATTAGAAAAATATAACGTATCAAACAGCACAGGAGTGGAAATTCAAGTATGTTATCTGAGAAATGTTAGCACAGACAGCACCTTATGGCAAATCGACAATCCCCTCGATCAACATCTCCCTGATCTTGTCATGCAACTTTGTCTTATAATTCTCTTCACTCGAATTGTCATGTTCCTCCTCCAACCACTTCGCCAACCTCGTTTTGTGTCTGAACTTATCGTAAGTGTGCCTGCAACTTCACCTGTTAATTAACATTTTTAATTATTTGTGTTTTAATTCCAAATGCAGGCGGGTATTCTGACGGGGCCAACATTTTTTGGGAGTTTACCGATAGCAGGCTTCGTTTTCAAATTTGAGTTGAACATGGTGGTGGAGATATACACATTTATGGGGCTAACCTATTACATGTTCTTAGTGGGATTAGAGATTAAATATTTTTTTTCAAAATTGCAAAAACACCCCTAAACCCACATTATACCAGATTTCGGCCACCACTGTCGGAAGTTGGCCGGAATCTGATATAATGGCGCACTACCAACTGAATCTGGTCGGTAGTGCGTCGATCTAGCCTTTTCTGGCTAGATTCACGGTGGATCTGGCTGTTGACGGCCAGATATTTGGCCGTAACCAGACATCAACGATGGCCAACATATGGTAGTCGTTGACCATCAATGACGGCCGTATCTTTGGTCGTCGTTGACGAGCAAATGTATGCAAAGGCAAAGGCCATATCGGCGCACGACCGGCAAGATCCAGTCGGTCATGCGTCGATACGGCGAATCCGGCCACCCTCCGGCGGTGGTGGCCAGTTGTGATTATCCAATGGGTGGGTTGGGGATATTTTTGTTAACTTTCAAAGTTTTATTATAGGGGTGTTTAGTAAATAAACAAACATATGGGGTATTTTTATTAATTTCCAAATCCTACATCGTAATACTCACCCAATTCAACTTTTTTTAACTTTTTTCAAAAAACATTTCTTAAAAAAGAAAAAAAGTGAACCAAACGGAGCCTATAATTTTCTCAATGTTATAGAAAAAATCTAGAATATCAAAATAGTACCATATCATCAATACCACCAACCAATAAATTTGTGACACATTTTAATTTTTTTTTTTTTTTTCTCATCTATTTTTAAATTGATTGTGATGAATAAAATTCAATAACTATTGGCATATATATATATACCTTTTTCTGTCTCTACAACCATTCTCTTATCTAAGTCTATTCAGACTGATTTTTTTTTCTAAATTATAAACTATTCTTCTTAAATTAATTTATATAATAGATAATATTAGTTTTATTAATATATTAATTAGAGATATATTCTAGATCGTTTATATGTTTAAACATAAAATAAATAATGTTTAAATGTTTAAATCAATATAATTGAATTTATAATTTTATGTGATTAAATTATACTTGATGTAATTTTCTTATCTAAATTACAACCATTATATCAAAAAATAAATATTTTTTCATTTACAAATACAATTATTTTAAGAAATCGTTAAATGAAATTAACTTTTAAATAATTAATATAATTACCATTCAAGTTTATCATAATTATTAATTATATAAATAATTCGATTCATAATAAATTTAATAGGATTAACATTTATTAATTAGTAAATACTGAACTTAGGAGAATGAAATTGTAAATGATTAATATTAACATAATTATTATTCTTTTGATTAAACTTAAATTTTTTTTAGAGATTCAAAATTTTCACCCATTGTTAGGAGCTCAAGACTCCGGCCTGGCTCTACCTTTAAGGTTGTGTTTGATTAGGGCTCTGGGCAAATAACTCCTATTATCTATCTTTGATTCCAGACATTTCTTTGTTTTATTTGACACTAATATAAGATTACAGGAATGTTTCATTCTCAATAGTGAATATTAGATTACCTAGTCTAAGGGTGTTAATTTTTTTCTACCATAATTATCTTTTTTTTAAACCAAATTTGCCCCTAAATAAAAGTCATTTCAGACTGAATTGCCCTCAAATATAAACCAAATAACAATCAGTCCAAACTCCTTACATTTGAGAATTTAGCTAAATCACCCCAGCCATAAAAAGTTTAAAAGTTAATAAAATACCTTCAACCATCAAAAACCACTGCCGGCCGCTGGCAATAGTCACCAGATTGATGCATAATCGACAGGATCTAGTCGGTCGTGCATCGATCTAACTATTTTCGACCATATTGAAGGCTGAAAACGGTCAAATCGTCGTGGATCTTGCCGAAAATGGCCAAAACAAATCTGGCCTTTTGTGGTTGTTTCTGGCAAGATCCACAACAATCTGGCTGTTTTTGGCCTTCAATCTGGCTAGAAATAGCTAGATTGGCATTGATCTTACTGAAAACAACCAGATTACAATAAATCTAGCGACGATCTAGCTGTTTTTGGCCTTCAATCTGGCTAGAAACAGCCAAAACAACACACGATTGGCCAAATCTAGTGGGTCATGCGTCGTTTCGATGACTGCCGCCAGCAGCCAGCGGTGGTAGGCCGCGGTCAGTAGTGATTTTGGGTGGCTGAGGGTATTTTGTTAAAATTTAAACTTTGTTGTTGGATATTTTAGCTAAATTATCAAATATAAGGGGTTAAAAATAATTTATAATAATAATAATAATATATTATTATTATTATTATTATATTAAAAATGAAGGACAATTCAGTAAAAGCTTCTGTCGATAATATTTTATTCTTCCTACCCAAACATTTTAATTATATATAACCACTAGTATAACCAAACATATTGATATAACATTTCCCCATAATCTTCAAGGTAATTTATCTCATTGATAATCCTACATTTTGAGCAATAAAACATTCCCCGAACCAAAAGCACCCTAAATGTTAACATAAAAATCCAACCCTTTAGATGTTAACATAAAATAAATGACTCACAAAAAGTGTTTAAAATTAAGTAAAAATTTTAAATTACAATATTATAATTCTAACTTCTCTTTTTTTTTTTTTTTTTTTTTTTTATGACGGGGTGTCCAGGCCAGCTTATGTGCACCTCAACTAATCTTTTGAAACCCTAGAACTATCGACTAGATAAGAACTCTAGTGGCTATCCCTATTAGCAACCGAGGAGGGATTCAAACTCAGAATCTCTTAAATAATACACTCAACAGTCACTATCATACTATTCGATTACTCAGAGATAGTTAATTCTAACTTCTCTCTAATCACCGATAGATTTATGTAAATGAAAGGCTCACAAGGAGTGTCAAAAATTTAGGTCGCAATGTTTTAATTTTATATAAAATGTTTTATTGTCATATAAAAATAGGATATTTTTTCTTTTCATCTATTTGTGTCTATTCATTTAGTTTACACATTAAAAACTTTAAACGTTCACATCAATATTCAGTGCAACGTCCTTTCGTATACCGTTGAGTTCATAACGGCAAATAAATCGTCAAAGGTGATGTTGTTAATACACGGACAACACAAAGCGTCAAAGCCAAATTTTAACGATTACAACAATTTTTAATAAGAACCATCAGGACTTGAGACCACAATTATAAGATCCTGGTTGATTTATAAAAAACTACTACAGTTTTGTTTTATTTTATTTTCCTCATTTCTTGATAAAAACTAAAAAGGGCTCGATTTGAGGAACTAAAACAGGGTGGTTGTTCCAAGTATTTCTGATGAATATTGTGTTTAATTTTGAAGTGTTAATGGGTTATAAAATGTAGGTATAACGTCTGGGTTCCAATTGGAGTGAACTGTTATGTTAATTTGGGTTTGAATTTGTTTTACATGTAAAGTTGAACGTGATTTGAATTTCTGTTAGTGTGGAGTTGTTACAGCTACAACTAAAAACACCATATTTAAGAAAAGCAAGAAAAGAAGAGCAAAGAATGCGGATATAAATAGTTGTGTTTCTTTTATATAAATCTTGACCAGAAACAACTATGTCATTAGCAAAGCAGTAGCAGCGGTCCCAACGATGAATACTATTAGGAGATTAGAATCTAAAGCGCCCTCCGGTTTTCAATTAGAAAAATATAACGTATCAAACAGCACAGGAGTGGAAATTCAAGTATGTTATCTGAGAAATGTTAGCACAGACAGCACCTTATGGCAAATCGACAATCCCCTCGATCAACATCTCCCTGATCTTGTCATGCAACTTTGTCTTATAATTCTCTTCACTCGAATTGTCATGTTCCTCCTCCAACCACTTCGCCAACCTCGTTTTGTGTCTGAACTTATCGTAAGTGTGCCTGCAACTTCACCTGTTAATTAACATTTTTAATTATTTGTGTTTTAATTCCAAATGCAGGCGGGTATTCTGACGGGGCCAACATTTTTTGGGAGTTTACCGATAGCAGGCTTCGTTTTCAAATTTGAGTTGAACATGGTGGTGGAGATATACACATTTATGGGGCTAACCTATTACATGTTCTTAGTGGGATTAGAGATGGATCTATCTGCATTGAAGCACATTGGGAAGAAGTCACTCAGCATTGCGGTAGCCGGAATTTTGTTTCCGGTAATCGCAGGGGCAGCCTTGTATTTTGTACCACTGCATAAAGGTAAAGACGCCGGCAGCCCGCCGCTTATTGGTGCCGTCTTCTGGGCAACAATATTGTCTAACACGAGCTTCCCCGACCTGGCGAGACTGCTCTCAAATGTGAAGCTTCTACACACGGAACTCGGGAGACTGGCCTTGACTGTTGCTCTTGTCAGTGATATTACCACTTTTGGTCTTCTTGTTGCAACCATAACTATGTTTGATCTGAATAGGTTCTACATGGCTGTAATTCCAACAATTATCTTTCTAATATGCTGCTGGTTTTTATTGCGTCCGGGGATTCATTGGATAATTAGGCATAGCAAAGTGAAAGGAGAAAACAAATTCAGTGAAACGCATATAAGCTTCATTCTGGTCGGGGTTGCAATAATCGGATGTATTGCAGATGCGTGTGGCTCACATTCTATGTTCGGTGCTTTCATATTTGGATTAATCATCCCACACGGAGACCTTGCCCTTCAGATTATGGAAAGGATTGAAGTGTTTGTGAATAGAATCATGTTGCCAGCCGCGTTTATGATGAATGGGCTACGAACTACGTTCGGTGATTTAGCATATAGAACTAGATTGTTAAGTGTGGGGCTGGTAACAGTTTGCGCTACTTCCGCAAAAATTATCAGCACTGTCTTTGTGTCTTCATTCTTTGGCATGACATCAAAGGAGGGATTGGGTCTCGGAGTTCTTCTCAACACCAAAGGTGTGTTGTCCATGATCGTTCTCACTGAAGCCCGGAACATGAAGGTGATTAATTAATACATTATCATAAACATTTAATTTACTCAAGTTTTGACAAGTTTTTTGTTTTTGTTTCAGGCTTTGGACAACGTCTATGTGCTTGTAATGACCATCTCAATTTTGTTCATGACGTCTATAGTACCACCAATCTTTTACTTTGTCAAAAAAACAACAAAGCGTTTCACCAACTACAAGCAAAGGACTATAGAGAGAAGAAATCAAGACACAGAACTTCGAATTCTAACTTGCGTTCATTCAACCCGAAACGTCTCCGGCATCATCAATTTACTCCAGCTTTCTCATGCCACTAGGAAATCCCCAATTTGTGTTTTCGCCATGCATCTTGTGGAGCTCACTGGTACTGGACGTACCTCCGCCATGCTCATTGTGCATGACACAACCAAGAATAACAATGCCAGCAACAACAGAAACTTGCCTCGCGAAAGGGTAGAATCAGAACATATTATTAGCGCCTTCCGTAATTTTAACTCCGTAAACGACGCCGTAACTGTGTATCCACTCACCGCAGTGTCCCCATACGACACCATGCACGAGGACATCTTCCAACTTGCAGAGGACCGGCATGTGGCCTTCATTTTGTTACCTTATCACAAGCTACCAACATCCGATGGTCGATTGCAAGGAGATAACCTTTCAATACAAGAAGTGAACCAGAATTTACTCAAAAATTCACCATGTTCAGTCGGCATTCTCGTGGATCGTGGACTGGCACTGTCCGTGCTGTCCGATTCAACATTCAATGAAAAATTGGAGTTCCGTATAGCCGTGCTCTTTGTCGGCGGGCCTGACGACCATGAGGCACTAAGTTATGCAACGAGAATGGCAAAAACAAGAGGCGTGCATCTAACCGTGGTACGGTTTCTTCTTGGTAAAGATGCAGAAATTGACAATCTAGGAAATGAGGAAAACATTGAATATAGAAATGAGAATTTGTCAGAATCGATTATGAATGAAGAAGGGAAAGAGTTTGATGATGAATTTATCAACGAGTTCAGGTTCAAGACAATGTGCGACCAACACATAAATTATCAAGAGAAAATAGTGAATAGCGGTGAAGATGTATTAGAAAGTCTTAGATCAAAGTATAATGACTTTGATCTGTACATAGTTGGACGCGGATATGGAGTAAACTCGCCCATAACAATGGGGCTTACAGAGTGGAGCGAAAATCCGGAGCTAGGAACAGTTGGGGAGACATTGGTGATGACTCAAGCTGTATCACACGCATCAGTTCTGGTGCTGCAACAATCAGCAACTGGTCGATTCAATACGAGGTTGCAACGTCGGAAGGACAAATATGGGCAAAATAAATGGGCATCACCCATTTTAAATCCCGACTATAAGGAATTTGTAACTGGTGAATCTGTAAAATAGCTTCTTTATGCGTATAAATTTTGGGACTTTGTTATAATTCTTTACTTCCTTGATTGTGTTACTATTGAATCATTTGTTCCACTATATAATGTAATTGTGGCTTTAATTTATAATTCATGCTTTTAATCTATCTTTATTCATTCAAATCAAATTCTACGCTATTAAAGAGGTAAAATAACTCAACACATGAGATTGTGGCCTTTGGACCTCCAAGAGCCTAATCAGAAAATTGGGCCACCAAGATTAAATGAGAAAATTAATTGAGTTAGCTGTGCCCACCCCTTAATTGCTCTTCCTTGGCATGACATTCTTTGAGCTGCCAAGAAATTTTGATTTATTTGTTTTTAATTACTTGTTTTTGTCTAATAAAAAGAAAATTCCAAGTCAATGTCAGACGAAAGCTAGCAGCACTTCACAACGTTGATAATAATTATGATTAAGATTATGATGGTAGTGATTTAATTGCCAATTTGAAAGCTTACCCTTCCTCTCCATTAATTATAAATGTATGATCCAAATATTTTGGGTGCGTTCTTATATAAATTTGTTTATGCTTTTTACATATTTAAAAAATAAAAACATGTTCAACAAATGTTGCATGTGATTTTTCCATTAAGCTCAGAGAAATCAAAGTTCCGCGAGGTTATAGTCCGACCTAGCATAAGCTCGTCGAGATATAACTCGACTTAGCATAAGCTAATCGCAACCAATCCTAACAGCTATTCGAGCAAATCATAGATAAGCTCAGATCCCGAATATTTCGGAAGAGATCAGATCAACAGCAATGATAGCACGATCTTAGCGCTCAATCACAAGAATATCGGAATTGCACTTCAATCTTGATTGTAATTCTTTTAATTTCGCTCTTTCCTTTATAAAAAAACTTGTATATTCCCTTCCAACAATGGAAGAAGGGTTAGCAAATTGTTTTAGACATTATACTATTTTCTTGTAAACTCTCTAAATAACTAAGAAACATAATAGATGTAGGTTCAAGATTCAAACTTGTCAAACCACTTTAAAAACTTGTCGTGTTCTTTACATTATTGTTCTTACATTCATATTGCATTACTGGTTATCTTTGATCACGCACATATCAGTTTTGATTCCACCAAGCTCAATCGGATCTCTGTGTAATTCTTACATCAACAACATATTTATTTAAAACAATATTATTATGTAAAAATATTTTCTTCTAAATTCAATAGGTTTCTTTATAATGTAAACCATTTTTTAGAAAAGTCAATAAAATTTTAAAAGACAACTATTCCCATTAATAAAGCGTTCTATTATATTCCCCTTGATGTGATAGTGTAACAGAAAGAAAAGTAAAAGAGGAAAGGCGAAAAACAAGGAAACAGAGAATGAGGTAAATGGCAATATGCCTTTCCATTTGTTATTCATCTGTACAGTATCCAGTATATATACAAAAGCAGAGAAAGAATATTCTAACAACCTATAGAAGGAAAAATACAAAATATTCTAACAACCTATAGAAGGAAAAATACAAATAAGCCCTTATGTACAACTCAGCAAAATAACAAACTAGAATGAAGCATCATTAGGTGCCTTCTCTTCTGTTAAAGCAGAAGGCTGTGGGATATTCTCCAATACCCCCCCATAAGATGGAGAGTGCAAATTAAGGACTCCCATCTTGGATAGGTGATGATGAAGAACAAGAGAGGATAGGGCCTTAGTGAAGATATCAGCCAACTGATGAGCACTTGAGACATGGCAGGTTTGGATACTGCCTTCTTGGATCTTGTCACGTATCAAGTGGCAATCGAGCTCGATATGCTTCATCCTCTCGTGAAACACAGGGTTGGCAGCAATGTGGATGGCAGCCTTGTTGTCACAATACAAGAAAGCAGCCTGAGGATGAGGAACATGGAGAGCAGAGAGGATGAAACGCAGCCAGGTGAGTTCTGAGCAGGTTGCTGCCATTGAACGGTACTCAGCTTCAGCTGAGGATCGGGACACAATAGATTGCTTCTTTGATTTCCAGGAAATCAAAGAAGAGCCAAGGAATATGCAGTAACCTGTGACTGAACGCCTGGTGTCAGGGCAAGAGGCCCAATCTGAGTCGCAATAGGCATGGAGTTGAAGGGAGGAAGAACTTGAGAGAAGTAGACCCTGTCCGGGAGCAGCCTTAAGGTATTTCAGAATTTTCTGAGCTGCCAACAAGTGATAATCAGTAGGATGAGCCATAAACTGACTTAAAGTTTGAACACTGTAACAAATATCAGGCCGACTGATTGTGAGGTAGAGAAGACGACCAATTAATCGCCTGTAGATACTCGGATCTGATAAGGGTTGGCCTGAAGAGTGAGCTAACTTGAGATTTTGCTCCATGGGAACTTTAGTTGGCTTGCTGCCCAGATTACCACTATCAGCTAGAATATCCAAGAGATATTTCCGTTGACATAAATGGATACCTTTGGAGGACCGAGCTATTTCAATGCCAAGGAAATACCTCAATGAACCGAGATCCTTCATTTTGAATTTGCTGTCAAGAAAGCCCTTCAATGCAGTCACACAATCAAGATTATCACTTGCCACAAGTATGTCATCGACATACACAAGTAAAGCTATGAAAGAACCATTAAACTCTTTAGTGAAAAGACTGTAATCAGCCTTGCTTTGAGAAAAACCAGATTCAATCAAAGAGGTGGAGAACTTAGAATACCATTGCCTTGAAGCTTGTTTGAGGCCATACAAGCTTTTGAGTAACTTACAAACTTGAGTGGGTTTTCCTTTAGTGTAACCGGGAGGCTTCTTCATGTAAATGTCCTCATCTAAATCCCCATGCAAAAAGGCGTTATTTACATCAAATTGATGTAAATGCCAACCCTTAATGGAAGCAATAGCAAGAAGAGACCGCACGGTTACCAACTTGGCAACGGGTGAGAATGTCTCATGAAAATCAACTCCTTCAAGCTGTGTGTAGCCCTTAGCTACTAAACGAGCCTTTAATCTCTCAACTGAGCCATTGGAGTGATACTTGAGCTTATAGACATATTTACAATCAATAGGAGATTTACCATCAGGTAAATCTGTTAAAATCAAAGTGTTGTTGGCTTCTAAGGCAGCCAATTCGGTATCCATGGCCTGGCACCATCCCGGGTGACTAAGGGCTTGTTTATAATTTTTAGGTTCAAAATGGGTAGAGATAGAAGTAGAAAAAGCTTGATAAGTAGGAGAAAATGCATGATAAGATAAAGTATGAGAAAGAGGAAAGGAATTACCTGATAGAGGACACAGCTTTCTGGACAACAATCGGTTGGAGGAAATGAGAGCTGTTTGACAATGGTAGTCCTACAGAAATTGGGGTGCAGTCCTAGTCTGGGTTGACCTGCGAGGAACAGGAGGAATTGGTGGTGGTGAAGGGATGGTAGGAGGGGAAGAATCTGGTAATGGAGGAGAAAAGGGAGCTAGTGGAGAAATGATAGAAATGGGAGGGGCAGTGTGATTATGTGTAGAGGGAGATTGAGTGGAAGGTAGCTGCTGCAATGAAAAATTGAAGGGTGATGGTGTGGTGAGGGGAATGGAGGATGAGAGAGGAGGAGTGGTAGCGGAACACTTTGTATTAAAAGGAAAGACTCCTTCATGAAACACAACATCCCGAGAATTAAAGATTTGGTTGGTTTGTATGTCTAAGATCTTGTAGCCTTTTATGCCAAAGGGATAGTCGAGAAACACACATTTCCTACCTCTTGGATCAAATTTCTTTCTTCCATGAGATAGAGTGGAAGCAAAACTAAGACAACCGAAAATTCTCATATGATGATAAATGGGGGGTTTACCAAAGATGACTTCGAATGGTGTTTTATTGTGAAGAAAATGAGTGGGGGTTCGGTTTATAATGTAAACAGCAGTCAAGATAAAATCAGTCCAATATTGAAGTGGAACATGAGATTGAAATCTAAGTGCACGGGCTATATTCATGATGTGTTGATGCTTACGCTCAACAATCCCATTTTGTTGGGGTGTTTCGACACAACTTGTTTGGTGGATAATACCCTTAGATGTGAAGAAATCGGTCATGGAAAATTCTGGGCCATTATCACTGCGAAGGATTTTGATTCTTTGGTGAAATTGTGTTTCAATTAAGGAGTAAAAACTTTTGATGCATTGTCTTACTTCAGATTTGGTTTTGAGCATGTAGACCCATGTGGTCCTTGAGAAATCATCGACAAGAGTTAATAAAAAACGAGAGCCATCAACTGCAACAATGGAGTGAGGACCCCAAATGTCACAGTGAATAACATCAAAAGCATGAAGAGATTTAATGGTGGAAATAGGAAAAGGAAGACGATGCTGTTTGGCCAAACGGCAAACACAACAAGGTATTTGATTAGAGAAATTCGTATGTTGTCTTACAAGAGGATCAGAAATTAAATGAAGTCTAGAAAAAGAAATGTGGCCAAGCCTACAATGCCATAAATCAGAAACAGAAGCCTTGCAGGTTATAGAAGCACTAAGAGGCTGATCTTTTTGGAGGAAAGCAGGAAAAACATCAACCAAGGCTGAGGGAGACGCACCAAATCTTAGCAGATGATATAGGCCGCCTCTCATTTCACCCATCCCAATCGTTGTCCATGAGGCTAAGTCCTGTACAAAGCAGGAATGAGAGAAAAAAATGAGACAGCAATTGGAATTAAAAGCAAGCCTTTTGGCAGAAATTAAATTGAAATTGAAAGAGGGGACACAAAGGACATCTTGAAGTATTAGAGTATAGGAGATTCGTACAATACCAGTGTGGGTAACAGGAACACTTGAACCATTAGGCAATTTAACCAAAGAAGAAGCAGTAGAAGAAATGGATGTGAAAAGAGAGGGGCAACAGATGATGTGATCTGTTGCTCCGGTGTCAAATATCCAAGGTGCAGTGTGTGATGAAACAGGTGTGTAAGTAGACAAACAAGTAGTCATACCAGAAATATTTGAGTCATGGACAGCTTTGGAAGATGGGGAAGGATGAGCAACTGAGATGGTGGCCA